TCAGCCCCCCGGCCCCATGCCCTGACACCCCCCCCCCAGATGAACTTGGGGCTCATCGCCGTGGTGCTGGTGGCCTTTGTCAGTCCCGTGGTGGTGGTCTGCGAGTGCCGGCGGCGAGCCAAGGAGCTGGGAGCTGCTGGCACCCCCCTCACAGCACCCCCCGGCAGCAAGACCCCCGCCGAGATGCCCCAATGAGCCCCATGCCTGTGAGCTGCTGGCGCAGCACCCAGCACCTGCTGCGCCCCATTTTTCTATTGGACTTTGGGGGTGGTGGTGCTGTGCCAGCGGGACAGGGTGTGTTTGCAGGGGGGGAAATAAATATTGATGACCCCTCTGCTCACTGTGCTCCTCCCTCCCAGCGCCCCCAGCCACTGGGGCTTCTCCAGTGTCTGCTATGGGGTTGGGCACCCAGCCTGCCTCCCAGGGCTGGGGGGCACAGACCCCTCCCCGTGGAGCCCCGGCACACATGGACACACAGCCTCAGGGCATCTCTGGTTTACTGGGTCAGGGATAGGGGCCACCATGGATACCCGGTCCCTAGTGGTGCCATGGCAGCACCCCTGGGTGCCCTCAGTACTGGCAGATGAAGGGGTGCAGCTGGGAGCAGAGCTTGCTTCTCCAGAGCCCATCTGGGGACAGGGGCCAGCGTCAGTGTCATGGGGTGGCACCCAGTGCGCCCCAGTGCCCTGTACTCCCTCTCAGTGCCCACTCCCGTTGCCCCCAGTAGTCCTGTGCCCCCCTCCCACTGCCACCAGTGGCCTGTGCCCCCAGTAGCCCAGTGCCCTTCCCAGAGCCCCCAGTAGTCCTGTGCCCCCTCCCACTGCCCCCTCCCATTGCCACCAATGGCCTGTGCCCTTCCCAGTGTCCCCAGTAGTCCTGTGCCCCCCTCCCACTGCCCCCTCCCATTGCCACCAGTGGCCTGTGCCTCCTCCCAGCACCCCCTTCCCATTGCCCCCAATAGAGCTGTGCTCCCCACCCAGTGCCCAGGTGCCCTGGCACAGTGGGTGGGGGGTGCAGGTGCCCTCACCGCGGGCGCTGAGAGTGGTGCAGGTGGTGAAGAGGCGGTGGGGGTAGGTGGGCGCCCAGTTGGCGTAGTTCCAGGGGCTGGCGTCCTCCCAATGTGACCCCCACTTCCCCCCCTGCCGCAGAACCTCCTCAGCACCCAGCACCTGGCACACAGCACCCCATACACAGCCCCTCACCCCCAAAAACCAGCCCCAGCACCCATACCCAGCCCCAGCACTCCAGCCCCAGCCCTGACACCCATTCCCCTCACCAGCTCCAGCACCCAGCTGCAGCACTTCTTAGCCAGTCCTAACACCAGCCCCAGCACCCCATAACCAGCACTCAGCTCCAGCACCCCGTAACCAGCCCCCAGCTCCTGCACCCATACCCAGCCCCAGCACCCCATACCC